CATGTTTTGGAAATATGTGGGGTAACATAACCTGGTTGTGACTGTTGCATATGGGCAGCTTCATATGGGCAGCCATATAAAGTGGAGCCACTGGGTGAAATCTGAGACATTTCCAGCAATGGCTATGAGAGCAGTTTGCATGTTCTCCCCGTGTATGTGTAGCAAGGGCGTAGGTTTGCGTGGGGACCATGGGGACATGTCCCCACCAATATTTGGTGAGGACTAAAAAGTCCCCACCAAAATGACATGATGTCCCGTGACCCGGACGGTCCGGGACACATGTCTTCCGTTTGTGCATACGTCGCGCCTCCTCCTCGCCTCCAGAGCAACAGCAGCACGTGACTCGTTCCGTTCTCTGCAGTGATTGGCTGTCTTCTTCAGCGCCAAACTGAAGCACTGAGCAACTGTTTAATTTTTAAAAGTTAGCCAGCGTGAAGCAAGTGTTTTTTTTCGTTCCCCGAGCGTTGTAGCACGTGAGTAATCAGAGGAAAGTACTGTAGATCTATTACCATTCAAAGTACTTACGTTATTTCTAATCTGTCAGCGCACTGTTTAATGTTCCGAGGAGCTCACACGGCACAGAGACAGAACAGAACTGGCTCCACTAAAGAAACAGGTTGGTTGAAAGGCTGAAAAAATACTTATTGTGCTCTTACTATCCAAAATGTATAAGTGGGTGTGTTGTGTGAATCAGGATAAACTAAGGATGAAAATATTCCACGGATCCACGATTTACAACCTTTATCTGCTGATAATGTAATTTCTGTGAAATGTGTGACAGCGGGCACTTGCTGTTATTCACTCAAAGCACATTCAAGCGATGCACTCGAATGTGCACGTCCTGGTGCAGCTGCTGCCGCTTTGTAATGACAGCCGCGGCGCTCAGTGAAAGCACAGCTCTAACATGGTACCGAGCTCGGACCATATGCAGACAGAACCATGTTGCAAGTGCGGGTCTCCCTCGTATCTCCCCCGTTTCTCCCCTGTGTCTCTGACATGTCTCTCCCCTGACTCTTCCCAAAGCGCAACCAGCGCTCCCGAAATTAAAGCTCGGATACCTAAATTTTCCATTGCGTTAACGATGCATGCTGGTTGTGCGCAAAACACACCACAACAGGTCATTTAAGTTTTTATTTTGCATACTTGAGAGCCCTGTGAGTCATTACTTGCCTTTTTGGGTAGAGAGTGGAATAAAAAAAAGAAAATATAGAAACATCCACACTGTTACTTATTGCCAAACTCTTGTTAACTCATTGTATTGAGAAATACTATGTAACTTTTGACATTGGCCAAGTTATATAAATGATTCTGCAGTTCATGTATATGAATGTCTGTTTTTGATTGTCTATACCTTCTTATATAATTTAGAAAAAATGCCACCTCCACAAATAAGATAAAAGATATCAGGAGCTTTTTTAACAGTTGGAAAGTAAGTAAGAGAAAGCACAAGTAATAGCAAATTATGAATTGTGATGATTAATCTTCTGTTAACATACATAACTGCTTCTCATTCAGTCTACAGCTGAGTTTAGTATAGAAGGCAACACACTATTGCAAATATAGTGTGTGATTACACAACAAATTCTGGGGGAGAAACTCTGGACCCCGTGTCAATGGGTGTAGACTCAGGTCGTAGTGAATGTCCCCACCAAGATTGGAACCAAACCTACACCATTGATGTGTAGATTTGCTCCGGTTTCTCCAGCCAATAAAAAAAAGTATAGGATGAAAACTAGAGATGGGCGTTTTGTGTTTTCTGAGGCTAATGCAGATTCATTCAAAGTTTGACTGACAAATGGCTGAAGTTAAAGTTCTTTTTTAAAAGTGTAAGCTAATGCACTGGCTAACAAGTGTGATGAATGTCAATCTTATGGGAAGAGGGTTTTTTTAAGAGAAAGAGAGGAAAACTTGCACTTGAATAAAAAGTCTTTTATTTGAAATCTTTTTCATTTGTTGATTTTGTGTACATTTTTCACATTATGGAGGTATTTTGAATAAACTGTCACTTTTATTATGGCTCAGTTGGTAGAGCATTGGCCTTTGAGCCTGAAGTTCGTGGGTTCGAGCCCACCATAAGACCTACTTAACGACTCCCACTGATGTCTGCTGTCATTGTGTCCTTGGGCAAGACACTTAACCCCACTTTGCCTGAAGCCCCTGCTGAAAGATCAAGTCTCCTGTGGACTCACCACCTGCAGGAGGATCAGTGAGGGACTGGTGCTATGTGTACTGGGTGCAGCTCTGACTGCCACCCCCCGACCCAGAAATACCCAGATAAGGAGGAAGAAAATGGATGGATATCACTTTTATTGAACAGGAGTTTGGATATTCTTGTTTGGTAAGTTTTAAGAACAAAATTGGTCAGTTATGTTTGAATTGAACCAGAACTGGACCAAATATAAAAATGACTCATTTACAGATTTTTCTACTTCTACTACCGTGGAATGTAATACCTATTGATAAACATAGGTATAACAGGCCATGGTAGTAGTTAGTAGGTAGAAGTTAGGGACAAAAGACAATATTTCGAAAATGATACAAATCTGCCCGGTCAATATTGGTCGATCGCAAATGAAACTTACGCTTGTGTTAATTCCAGTGTAATTACCAGTCGCTCTTCTTCACACTGTCCCATTTAGATAAATAAATAAAGTTATTTGGTAGTTTGGATGAGTGAGGGTGATCCTCTCTTTTTCACTTTTCTGTCTGAAAAAACTGCCCCAAAACGTGTGAAAGAAGCCAAAAAATATATACATGGGAAAATGGTTTTCAGAAATATATCATTCTAACATAATAGTTACATTATTTGTGGTTTAAATCAGCTTCAACTTGACTCGTGATTCAGAATAGTCCCTCCAATCCGCCCAGTCGGCATGTTTTTTCAGAGCTTTTAATGGCAGAACAATTGCAAGTTCGCTTTACCAAACAATGTCAAAAAGAATAATGATATGGAACGCAAGGCTGCAGATGGGACAGGGGCCGTGTTTATTCTACAGCAATGCAGCATAAAAGAGACCAGTCTGACTGTGTTTGCAGGCCAGAGGTAAACAAGGCGTGCAACTCCTGGCTAAAATGTTCCATTATTTCAACTGTCTTTTCACAATATCAGATAAAAGAGAGATAAATACTACTATAAGAGGCCAAAAGTGAATGGATGACTGTTTTCCTTCAGCTCTCAGTGCAAGCATCAGTTTGGGTTTAGCGCCATCAAAAGCTTTAAAAGGCACCGAAACCTAAGAACAGTTTAGGAAACCTTAGCCACATGCCATCAAATATTGACGAGTTTGGATATTTTGATGTGTATATGTTAAGAGGACAGGTGTGGCATGAGACATATACTTGTTTCAGATGATGCCAAAGAGTATTCCACTTTACAGCAGCACAATGAGAGTCATGATAATAATACAAGAAAGCGCAGTAGAGCCTGTGATCCATGAATGGTGGGAACCAGCTTTAGTACAGTAGAGGTGTGAGCTCTCTGTTCCTCTTATTCACGCTGCTCCAGACACAATAGTCCATTGTCTTGGGCCCAGAGTGGAACCTCTGGCCTATAAGTCAAAGGTGGAGGGCAGCAGATGAAGTTATCTCTGCAGGAGAGCTGTTTGGCAGAGACCTCACATCCAGGGAACACTTTCTAGAGTCGTTCCCTCACTGCCACTGTAAATCCTCCCACGCATGTCCATGGGTCTGCTCTAGATGTGATAAAACTAACAATAGCTGTGCACAGCATGAAAAACATGTGATAGAAATATACATACCTTATCGATTTATTTGCTCAGCACAGGCCAGTAGTCAAAATACTGTTGGGGCTGTTCATTTCTTTTCCCTTTGGAAACAATTACAGACTTAAAAGGACGTTTTCACATTCAACAAACCATGTTGTGTTTCATGAAACTGCACAATGTGTGTGACTTCTGAATGCACATTGTAAGGAGTTAAAGTGGGACGACTTTAAAAAACACTTTGGTGCCAGGCTGCCAGAACAAGAGTGATCTAAATAAGGAAAACATAGATGGATAACATCATATACAGGCCTTGATATTCCCTGGGGCTGTTTTAACGACCTACATCATTTGTTATTGTTTTTTTCTATAACTTGAACTGTTGTTTTGAGATTTGCATTGGTTTCAGGTTCAAGGGTGAAATTGTATGGAATGCAGATATCCTATAATTGGAGGAGAGGTCAGCGTGCAGCTTAATGAATGAACAGCTAGAGCGCGAAGAGGCGCGCGCGGAAAAGACGCGCACACCGCCGCGAAACCAGAGTTGTTCCAGTCTGTGAGTCTGACTGCGCTCATGACTCTTTGTGGATAAATAATCAGATGTGGCCAATAACACATCGGTGATTTCTAAATCTGACACTTTGATAAACTGCACATATGAGACGTTCATAAAAAGCCAGTACGTGAAACCAAACCAAACAGTGCTGCAGGTTTCGAACATGTCATGCTTGTAATAATGAGTGTTTGTGTGAAAAGTGATGACACAGTGGGACATATACTTCACTAATTATACATGAGGCTCATGCTGGAGCGCGCGGAGCTGACAGAGGAGAAAAGGGGAGTGGGCGGTGTTTATTGACTGCCAGTGGCATCACACACAACTACCCCCTATATAAACTGGGAGGGACGTCAAACATCCTCACTGGAACCCACAACACGCTGATGCTTCCACGCACACTCTCATCACCGCAGGGCACCGCCACACACGCACCTCAGACCTCTGGCCGGCACGATGGATGGACCACATAAAGACCGCAGAATGTCTCACTTGTGGATATTGACGTTACTTTTATGTTTTTAACCTATTGGATAACTCTGGCTTTTTTGCATTTTCTGGATACGGATTGTACTGCTTGATCTCGTCCGTCGGGCTTTTAGAAGAAGGATTACATGTATTTACACGTGAGCCTTTTTTGGTGTCTCAATCTGGAATAGGGGCATTTTTTGGGGGGGAGGACATACCAATTTCGCAAGGATACGCACATTAAGCTCTAAAGGATGGCCGTTTGGTTCTCACTGTTCTTCACAATAGTTATATCAGTTCTTACTCAGGTATTTTCTGTTCATATTCTGAAAGTTGAAGTCCCCCCTTGTCATGAAACGGCTCTTTCTAATCCCAGTGTGTTTCCCTAATAGGTTCTGGGAACAGGTGTGTTCGAGGTAGAGTTCCATCATTTTCAGAATACTAATGGTGCGCTCGCAAACGGACAGAGTTGTGGGAAAAGTGGCTGCAGGACTTATTTCACAGTATGTTTAAAGAACTACCAGACTGTAGTTTCCCCTGGTAGATGTTTATTCGGCAGAGCCACCACACCTGTTCTGGGTACGGACTCCTTCAGCATCCAGCAGAACGCACGGATGCGACTGCCGCTCAACTTCACTTGGCCTGTGAGTAATATGGATGCCATGTTTACTGTTTCACGTAGAACAACAACCTTAAGTTGATTTAATAAGTAATGTAAATGCATTTTCCAACAGGGTGCTTTCTCCTTAATAGTGGAAGCATGGCACTCTCCTGTCACGGCGCTGCCTGGAGGTAAGAACCTGAAATGACCACTAGAGGGAGCATTTCCTACATTTTACTACAGGACTAAATCATATGCAACACACATATCTAAACATTGCATTATAACAATAACAACATCTGACCGATCGAATAATGAAGTTTCCTTTTTTTCCCCAGACACCACCAACCCTGATTTCTTGATAAGTTCTTTTACCATCCAAAGAAAGTTGGGAATAGGGAATGAGTGGTCCCAGGAGGCGCCGAGCGGGACGCAGACCGAGCTAAGGTACTCATACCGGTTCATCTGCAATGAAAATTACTACGGGGACACTTGTTCCAAAATATGCACTCCAAGAGACGACCGTTTTGGCCACTACACCTGCAAACCCGATGGGCAAATAGCCTGTCGACCAGGATGGAAGGGAGAATACTGCCAAGAACGTAAGCAAGTGTGAAAATGGACTTATGTGTGTGTGGTAGTAGAGTTTTGGAGCTAAATGGGTTCATCTGGTATATTGATAAAAGTTGACTCAATTCAATGTATTTATGGCCCTAAATCACAACAGCATTATCGTTTTAGAGGACTTTACAAAATCAGAGAATCAAACCGTTTGAACACAGGACATACATTAATAGCAAACACATTGAAGCCATTGGCCCAAAGGGAGCAGGATGATGAATAAATGAACCTGGATCATCACTGTCCTTAGACCCTCCGACATATAGACAACCAAGAATATTAATATTAAAGTCAAGATACAGTGGGAATAAAAAGTGAGAAACCTTGGGGAGGCCCTAAACACCAACAAACTAACACACATCCCACATCATAGATTATAGCCCGATGCTGAGACGCGGTGTTATTGGGTTGAAATAGGAGCCCACTTTCGCCGTGGAGGACGCGTGCTGTCCTTATGTCCTAATCCGGGCGCGCTTGGACCACGCCTGCCGCACGCGTCGAGGTTAATCGCGGCATTATCGTCCGCCACGCGCCACTTAACTGCGCCTTCTTTTGTTGGCTGTTGTTGAACGGGCACAGGGCGGCAGCTGCACGCACGGCTCGCATTGCCCAGCCACAACAATAGGGCAGCTGTCCCGCTTTATAGGAGAACAAGCATCTGCTCACTAACCAGCCCTATTCCATTCACATCAACGGCACACGGCCTTATAGTCTACAGATGAAGCTTCCCATGTATCACTATAAACGAGCTGCTAATAGATTTTAATTTGAGAGAGACACGTGTATGATGACTGACTTGTTTAAGTTATCAACAATGTCCATTCGCGTTTAACTGTGGTGTGTCTTGTATTACAGCTGTGTGTCTGGATGGCTGCAATGAAAGAAATGGAAACTGCACTGTTCCTGGAGAGTGCAGGTTAGTCAGAATGTATACTGTGATTATGTAGGATTAAAAGGTCTTTGATGATTGTTTCTATCTTGTTAAGCACTTTGAATTGCCTTGTGTTTTCACTGTGCACAAATACGTATGCCTTGCCTTCAGAAGCAGACAAATATCCAAAATACAAGCTGACGTGACTGTTTCCGTGTTGTAGTAACCAATTATTGTGTTTGATTTGCACAGATGTCGAGAGGGCTGGCAGGGGCTGTTCTGCGATGTGTGTAAACTTCACCCATCCTGCAAACATGGTACCTGCACAGAGCCATGGCAGTGCACCTGCAAAGAAGGCTGGGGCGGAATCTTCTGCGATCAGGGTAACTTATATTTTGTTTCTACTCCAGCAGTTTGAAGGCTAAATATTCACTTACAGAGAATTGTTAGCACTGCAAACAATGGTGCAAAGTATCATGTTTCCATTGTGTTTGCAGACCTGAACTACTGCACCCATCACAAACCTTGTGCAAACGGAGCCACTTGTATGAACACTGGCCAAGGCAGCTACACCTGCACCTGCCTGCCAGGTTTCACTGGGGTCAACTGTGACGCCGAGGTCAGGCAGTGCGACACCAGCCCCTGCAATAATGGTGGCTACTGCCTGGTGAGTCCGGAAGTCCCTCTCTCTCCTTTCCCACAACACACGCCTTCCTGTTTTTGTTTTTTCCTTGTACTATCTGCTCCTACAAGAGGATGCTATTGATTGTCAAGCTACATAATGACCCAGTTCACAGGAGGCTGACTTTAAATAGAACTGATGATTGAGTTTGCATTAACATTGAGACTTTTTGACAAAGCGTGTAATTGTCTGTTGCAGGACACTGAGGAAGGCTACAGGTGTGAGTGTCCACTGGGATATGAAGGGACACACTGTGAACACAAGAAGCTGACATGTGCAGATAAGCCCTGCTTTCACAGGGGCAAGTGCAATGAGCAGAACAACGGCCACAGTTATACATGCGAGTGTCCAGCAGGCTACACTGGACTCAACTGTGAGAAGAAGATGGACAGATGCACTTCACTGGAATGTGCAAATGGTGAAGAATAAACATATAAATCCTGTATAATAAATGTAGCCTTTGATTAATCGGGCTGGTTTTGTCTACACAGGTGGTCATTGTGTGAACCTCGGTAACCACGGAGTGTGCAGCTGTCGCTCAGGCTTTACGGGGCAACGCTGCGAAATCAACATTAATGAGTGTGCCAGTAACCCCTGTGCTAATGGCTCCACCTGCATAGACCGCATCAATGACTACACATGCACCTGCCCCCCGGGGTTCAGCGGCCGCCGCTGTGACAGGCCCATGGAGCTCTGTGGGGCACAGCCCTGTCTCAATGGTGGGACCTGCAGCGGAGCCAAAGGCCAGCACACATGCATCTGTCCCACTGGTTACAGCGGCCCACTCTGCCAGACCCTGGAGCCCGATGGCAGCCAGCACAATCAGAAAGACTGGCTCTACGGGGACAAAGTCACTTTTGCTGCTGTCGGTGTGGGAATAGGATTAGTAATCCTAGCTGTGTTTTTCTGTATGATATTCATGGGACTTCGTCATATTAAAAAACAAAGAAATAAGAATCACAAGTCAGAGACAATCAACAATCTGTCAAAGATGGACCATCAGAAAGAGAACCTCATTTCTACTGTGGAGCTTAAGAACACTAATAAAACCATGGAGCAGGAGGTGGACAGCACCACAGACAAGTCTAATCACAAACGCATCAATCACTACCACCCGGATTATAAAATTTCCATGGGGTACAAGGACGAAGTGTCCTGTCTGGACAAAGAAGAAAACTGTGAAAAGACATTAGAAGACAAGCATCATTTTAGAAAAATGTACAGGTAAGAACAAAAATACATGCATATCATGCAGATGGAGTGTTTTATAAGGCACCTACTGACCACTGATGCTTTCTCTGTTTCAGGGAAAGGCCTGAGTGTCGAATATCATCAATATGTTCTTCCAGGGACTCAGTGTACCAGTCTGTCTTTGTAAGAGCAGAAGGAAAAAATGAATGCATTATTGCAACTGAGGTATTTATTCCTCTTCAAACGATTCTTGACGAGACGTTAAATGATTTCTAACTGAATGCTGTTATTTACAGGTATAATAATGTGGACCTGCAGTAGATTTCTTGTGGACTGTTTACAAATGACGAGAGACTGGGAATTATTTAATTGTAAGCTGCTGCTCTTGAAAACTTGACAACTGGATGGAGTCTCTGCGCTCTCTGAATGCAATAGGACTAAAGCTATTAACTATTGTGAGAATGTAACAAGGACAATATTTTAAACAATCTTTAACCAAGTCAGCTCCGTCCAAGACCATCCAAGGGCCAGGGGTCAAGACATTTCAGCCGCACACTGTTGACAAGAAGGCCCTTTTGATGGAGCGCTTAAGTGCAGTAATCAGCAATCATCATTTCAACTTACTGCCAACAAGCCTTTGGAAAGAACCACTCTGGTTCAAGTAGCGTCTATGCAAAATCAAACCAGCCTTGTGCTAAATCAAGAGACAAAACTACTTAAGACGGTTCATTAGGTTTGTGAATTGACCCCCTTTTAAGAAGAATGTATGCAACACTGATGACAGCCTTAGTTGAATAAAATTGTCTGTGCCTGCCCCTGGTTTGCACACCAGTAAATTATTCAAAATAATAGATCAAAATGTGTATTTGGCAGAGTGCACAGGGAAGTAAAAACTGTTTGACATTATGCAAAAATCATTCTTTTCTTAGACACGCAATGTGACAACTTCTTTCCTTTTTTTTTTTTTTTACCAAGGAAGCCTTCTAAAAAGTCTTAAATGTTTTTTGTATGATTAGTATTCATGTGTAATTTAAGAATATGAAGCACTGATCTCTATGTTTTATATAAGATTATTTTGTATATAGTGTATATTTATATGATGAGAATAGAATTATGACTTGTACTGTACATGTGTTTGGAATCCACCGCAAAAAAGGTGATTTATTTTAATGTGTTGTCGTTTATTTCAATGTTAATATTTCTGATAAAAGAACAATGAATACACATCTGGTACACTGTTTTTTTGTTATTGTTTAATAACCACATAGTAACTCCTATTGTTACTTTCAAATAAGAGATGGCGAGACGAAAAACTAGTTAGACCCGCCCCCACAGCTTCCTGATTGGACGCATAGGGTTCAAATCTTTGATAGACAGCTGAACTCCCTTCCTACTGGTCTAACTATTCCCCTCCAGCAAATCTCATTGGTGATGCCTCTCCCACGGAAATAAACTGTTTTAAATAGGCACGGCAAGTTTATTTGTATAGCACAATTCATACATAAGGAAACTCAAAGACAATTTTAGATCAGACAAAATATGTATTAAATTGTATTTCATTTGGAATAGAAGTTGCAGATGTCATCTTTAAAGATTGTGTTTATAATTTTGTGCGAGGGAGTTTCGCTTACTCCAAAAGTTTGTGGGAAATAAAGGAAATGTGTTTTGCAAACGAATAGACTTGAGATTTGTCTGCGGTCAAATAAATGGGAAAGCATACGCATCATTCAGATGTAGTGCCTTTTTCCACCACTCGAGGGCACCTAACGATGACAGTAAATGGTCTGAAACCTCTGAAATCAATTTATGTTCAAGAAAAGCCAATTAAATTAACTTAAAATTATCTCAGCAAAAGCCCGTGTCAGCAGCGAGCACAGGGACAACTGGAGAGCACTTTCTCCTAATCCTAACAGAGACTAATGAGCTTATAGCACAGACTCAAGCACTGCAACTCAATTGCTCTATTTATAGTCCCAGCTTTTACCTAAATAACCATCAAGGACCAGTGCTTCAACATTACAGACAAAATAAATAAAAATCTTGCCACATTATAGCATTAGTTAATTTAGTTTATATTGCTCTGAAAAATATTTATATTAAAGGGACAACATGATAATTAACCAATAGATGGGAAGCATCTACAAAGTATTTTAAATAAAACAGCACAAATGTAGAAAAAAATCCCACATTTTATATTAACTAATCGATTCATTAATCAGACAACTCAAAATAGACCTTTTTCTAAATTATTTTTACTTATTTTACAATATTCCCTTTGCTCAGTTTAGCATACACACACACACAGTTGTTTTTTTGTCTTATTATTCTTTTCGTTAGAATGTGAACTAACAGATAGAAGAGTACAAGGCTACATCCCGGTGTCATTAATGCACAACTAATTAAACAAAGAAATAAAACAAAAGATAAATAATCCCAAAATGGCACTCGTTTGGTGCGTTTGTATATTCACCAATAAAAGGGAAGTAGGCATTATTAGTAGGAATGTCTTATGTATTGAATCGTGTATGCATTGAATTTCTTCAATATAAACATTTTATATTTGGAACCAAATAATCCATTCTGAGACTAAAATCTCACTCTAAATGTGTCGATCTTGTTTAAAAGAATCTCATATCTATTGAAAAAGTGTCTCCCACACACATGCATTTTTAAGTATGAGACTTTTTTGCTCTCTCAGCTAAAAAGTTTCCTGACCTCTGTCATAGAGCAACAGTATTCTCATTCACAAGGCATGAGATGGCACAGTGACGTTCTGATTGGCTGATTCAGAAGTTGACCCGCCTTCGGAGTGATCTGATTGGTTGAGATCACCTTGTTCCAAAGCGCTCTGAACAACAACTCCACGTGTACAGCGAGAGAACAGGACACACTCACAGAAGCACAGAAGCAGAGACATACAGACAGTCTCAGCCCCTCATCCTATCTTTAGATTACAAAAAATATACATTCACAGGTGTTTTTCAGCACTTTGGAATGTGCTGAAATACCAGATTTAATTCTTGAGTTTACGCTATAAAAATGCCACGGAGAAGTGTGCAATAATTCAAGGAAAGAAGACACCACACATAGAAAGCTCCTGAGAAGCCCTTGATCGCATTGAGACGAGTCAAAATGAAACCACAGGACATCCTCATGGAGAAAAGCAGCTTGTGGGTGTTTGGGTATGGCTCCCTGGTGTGGAAACCTCACTTTGCCTACAAAAGAAGTATAGTTGGCTTTATTAAAGGATACAAGAGACGCTTCTGGCATGGAGATGACTTCTACAGAGGGGACAAGCAAAATGTAAGCACTGATCACATGAAGAGCATCTCCTAATATGGTCTGTTTTCACTGTATTTGAATCTGTGTATTGTGTTTGTTTTTTCAGCCTGGGAGAGTGGTCACACTGATAGACGATGAAGAAGTAAGTCATGTTTGTTTTCCCTCTTCCTTTTACATTTTGACAGTATAGGATTAACCATGCTTTTTACCTTAATGGTATATTTTTTTTTAATGAATGATGTGGAATATCCATTGCATGACACATAATCACTAATGCAGTGTTAGAAAGTAAATAAACATGGATTGCGTCAGAGTTTAATGTGATGACGTGAAACAGACAAAAGGTGGAGCCCTGTAAATTGAGCCCTGGGGAAGACTAAAATCAGTTACAGATAAAAATTTAATACTACAAAAAGATCTAAGAAAGATGAAATGTTGACGGGAAGCCAGATGGCTGTATAGAAAGTGTCCTCTGTCAGGTACCTTACTTTGGCTTCTGAAAAGCCAAAGTAAGGTACCTGACAGAGGACACTCTGTCAGGTAGAATTCAAAAAATCAAAGGAATAGATGGTAATTACCACACACTGCTCGTTTTGTCCTCTCAAATTAGGTCTGACAAACACAAATCTTTTGCAAACCTCAAATTATTTACATAATGACACAATTCAAACTCATAGTGTTAAAAATTCAGAATATGGTACTCTGACTGAAGCGTATAAAAGGTTTATGTTACATATGAATGTGGCAGTACCCAGTGTTGGGTGTTTAGTCACGCGTTACTGTAACGAAATTACAATTTGAGTAACGTAGTAGTGTAAAGCGTTACTATGAAAATACGTTTAATGATATTACAGTTACTACCTAAATACTTCGTTACCGGCGGCACCGGCCTCGGGAAAGCAGGAGAAAGCTGCACTACCGCTGCGTGCGTTTGTTTGTAAAGCAACATGGCAGAGCCAGAGGAGAGGAATTCGTTTTACCGGTGGAGATATGCACTATTTTAACTATAATAGTAAAAAAGATAAAAACGTTGTCGTGGAATGCAAGCTGTCAGCGGGCAGCATGCGAATGCTCCGTTCACATGCTCAGCGCTCTGCGCACTGTATTTTCCCTGGTTCTTGACTGTCAGGCGTGCTCTGCGCACTGTATTTTCCCTGGCTCTTGTCTGTCAGGCGCTAGGGCTGCTCGTGTGTGCCTGTGGGAACTAATTATTTTAAAATAGTCTCTTTCAATTGCAAGTTTTGTAATGTGCTTTGTTTGATCAATGGATACTAATAAATGCAATGTAATGGCACCTTGGCCTGTCTTATTATTGGCCTGTGTGCTGCAGGACAGTTCCCTAAACTAACATTTAATACTAATACTAAAATAGGGTGGCGTTGCTGCAACAATTAATCTACTTAGAAGTTATCCTAAATCACAATCAGCTTAATCTCGGTACCACGACAAACTAAAAAGTAATCCAATAGATACTTTTACTGGTAACTAGTTACTTTTATAGTGCAGTAACTAAGTTAGTAAGTATATTACTTTTTGGGAGCAGTAACTAGTAACTGTAACTAATTGCTTTTTCAAAGTAACTTACCCAACACTGGCTGTACCGTACTCAGCCGCTAATTACAGCAGTATTGGTCCCATCACTAGGCTCCATCCCTGACCTGTGTGTTGTGTCTGCAGGAGTGCACATGGGGCGTGGCCTTTGAGGTGACTGGTCCACAGATCGAGGAGACCCTCCAGTATCTGAACATCCGGGAGGTGATGATGGGAGGCTACATCACAGAAGTGGTGGAGTTCACACCAAGAGAGCGGGACCAGAGCAGCCTGTTAGCTTTGGTTTACATCGCCACATCGGAGAACCCCATGTACCTGGGCCCCGCCCCGGACATGGACATCGCGGCTCAGATCGCCAGCTGCAGAGGCAGCACGGGCCTGAACATGGAGTACCTGGTGCGCCTGGCCGAGTTCATGAGGCTCTACTGTCCCGACGTCCAGGACCAACACCTGTTCACGATAGAGAAACATGCGCTGGACTTTGTGCGCAGAGAGAGTGAAGGCCCCCTGCAGGGGCCTGCGCTAATGGCCTGAAGTAAACTATGAAAACTGCATCAATGGAAAAGGGAGCTTCCTGAGATTTCCAGCTCTGGGCAACGGTGCAAACCTCAAGTGCTTTCATTTTTGTGCTGCTGCAAATCCACTTTATGACTATGAACAATGTATACAGTTTATTACTCTTTGTGCCTACAAAGGTGTAGACTGCCATGAGAACTTCTATTGCATTGTAAGATAATTTGCACAATTTTCCAAATATGTATATATATATGTTATTTTTTATTAAAACATTGAAATACTATATGTTTTCCATCATATGTATTCCATAAATTACTCTTCCAAAGTCATGTCTTTACAGTGGTGTGTCACATGACCCAATAATGTATAAGTACCTCTGACAGACGCTCACATTTCCCCTGAGATCCACTAACAACAAGTCAAGTCAGCAAACTGTAACAAACAAGCTACAGTGTGATATAACTCTGAACTTTGTCATTTTACACAAATAACTTTATCAACATGAATGACATCACTGCAAAGTCATACAAACACTCAAAAGGTCAAGAGTTCTTCAGATTAACACTGAGAAACTAAAGAACCTCTGAACAAAGTACATTTCAAACATATTTGCAGAGGAGATGTCGTATACATATATAAATCTTCCTTATTGCTCATGATTGTGGGGTGAATGTTTTAAACTAGACTGAGCAAGTGGACATACAGTTAAACGTATAGTGCAGCGTGATGGACAAAGCTTGTCTGGGAAGTGAGGGGTGCATATAGGGGATCTGTAGGTCGGCTCACGTTGCAAAAACACGTGCACGTTTTGGGCTGAAAGAAGTGAAAGAAGTCGCCCGGCAACTTTTTTTTTTTTGACTTGCTGCTCTACTTTCTTGGAAATTGGAGGAAAAGTAGGTCATAGGTTGAAACAATGTACCCAGAATGCACAGGCACATGCAGTGGCTGGACCTGGTCATTATGTGACCACAGCATGTATAGTTGAAATAGGAGGGTGACGGCTTCATGAAACCCTCAGTTTTATGTCCGAAATTTTTTCTGACTAAGTAGACCCATGAGAAAACAAATTGGTATCATTATCGGCACATACTATCCATATTGGCACAAAAACCTACATGCATTCTATACTCAACAGTAGGCCTATATTCATGCAGCAATTAAATTCAATTCTATATATTCTTGTATAGCCGTAAATCACAACTGTCTCTGAGGACTTAACAAAACGGTTGATTTCGCCGACGCAGATCAGAGAATCAAACAGATCAAACACAACAAATGCAATAATAAAAAGACACATAGAGCCATTGGCCCATAAAGGGGCAGATGACCAATGTCCAGAAATGTTTTCAACCGCAATCTTCAAGTGATGTCATATTAGGATTTTGGCCAGTCAGCAGAACAAGCTGAGATGTTATTTTTGTTTTAAACAGTACAGTCCTTAAGTTATACACACACAATGCACATTCAAAACATGACAAATCAGGTGCTGTGTGTTTGGGACTAGCTACTGCAGTATGACGCAGTGGGTGCAGTGTGGAATGCAAACAACGCAACATCTTTCCACTCACATCCATGCAAAGGTTTTCACATCATGCACTGAAGAAACAAAACAAGAAAAATGTATCTTCACTCTTTCTAATGTACTGTTATTATTTGTGATTTGGATTTCTTGTCTATATTGTTTTCACCTGACTTGTGTATGAACTAATAAACCTTTCCTTAGCACCACACGCTAAGAAACAATAACTATATAGCAGACACGAATAATGCCTGTTTCTTTCAATGAGATAATTTTACTCAGTAGGGCTGGAATAAAATATGGTTTTGATAATTGAACCGTTTAGTTGTTCAAAATACCGAGGGCTCAGGAAAGATTAAACTGTTTTAGTTTATCGATTTCACTGTGTCAATTATTTCCTGCACTTTTTTTGTTTGTTTTATTCCAGTACTTTTAACCTTTTTATTTATGTACTCGTCTGGTGCACAGTGGGGACTTTTGCAAATGTATTCCAATGAGGTTTTACTGCAAATGGCGAATAAAATGATTCTGAATCTGAATTTAAGTCTATGTAAGGTTACAAAAAGTTTTAATCAATAACAAAATTAATTACTAATTATTAACTTACATACTAATTATGTATGGATTTGCAGCCCAAGACTAAATCATAGCACATCTTCCTCATAGCTACATAAAGAGGTAAAAACGTTGCTAAGCAGAGCCAATGTTATTATGTCCACAACAAAATGCTAAGTGATTATGGTCGAACTCACAATGCAGCAGTGTAGATTGGGGTCATGGCCTCAGGAAGTCCTGTGCACATTCCTCATAACTCCTAATAGATCCATGCTCTATTAGGATGCGAGCTGTCCACCTGCATGCTAATGTGCTCCCGCCGTGAACCATCACCCATGACCCTCTTGGTCTCTGTGGTCTCTATGGTCAGTGTGTGTAAGGAGAAAGTGATGCTGCAGCTAATGGACTTCATCCGCTGACCTTATGGCCTCGGGTGGTGCCCTCCTCATCCTCTGCTCCTCTGAGACCTGTCCCTGGCCACCTCTGGTCAGCTGCGGTGGAGTCGTAAGTGCTGCCACAGCTACAGAGGGCGTATAAAATGCAAAAAGAAGACCATTCATAATACACAAACATTTGCTGATGGTAAGACATTTATCTGCATAGACCGGACGTGTCAGAGTAAGTAAGTAAGTAAAGTAAGTAATCTTTATTTATATACCGCCTTTTCACTGCACATCGGAGTCTCAAAGCGGTTTACAATTGTTATTTTTGGGAGTGGGGGTGCCAGTACAGGAGGCACATGCCAGACCTATTGTACATATTTTTAGTGGTAGGGGAAACCGGAGCACCCGGAGGAAACCTACGCAGACACGGGGAGAACATGCAAACTCCACTCAGAAAGGCCCTGGTCCAACCGGGATTCGAACGCAGGACCTTCTTGCTGAGAGGCGAGAGTGCTATCCACTCAGCCACCGTGCCGCCCGAGTCAATTTTGTCGGGCCGGATAGAAAAAGTAAAATCTCTGGCTTTAGCATAATAAAGAAGCAAATATAAAATCTCCAATATTTGAAGTTATGGAGACAATGTTATCCAAATATCTCATAAATCTCATAATGTAATATTTTCTCAACAAAATGGGCTTGATTATGTTTGGACTGAACCCAAACTGGACAAACATGAAACTTCAACACAAATTCAGACTGGAAGACAAGAGACGCCATGCTGCCACACTGGCTCCTCCCTCTGTACTGGCTCCTCCCTCTGCACTGACTCCTCCTTCTGTACTGGCTCCTCCCTCTGAACTGGCTCCTCCCTCTGCACTGACTCCTCCCTCTGCATTGGCTCCTCCCTCTGCATTGGCTCCTCCCTCTGCACTGACTCCTCCCTCTGCACTGGCTCCTCCCTCTGCACACCTGTGTCTGGGTGACACATCAGCCTCAGCTGCTCAGTAACACACCTGTGCTGATCATCACTTCGTGGCTGCATTTAAACAGAGCCTTTCAATTCTCTGCAGTTCAAACTGCTGTTCCAGCAGCAGCCCACCTCCTCCCCATCACCATCTCTTCTGTGGAGTATCATGTCATGTCTTCGGCTCAGCTTCTAGGTTCTAGGCCCCGGTGGGTCGCAAGCTCATAATTTCTATTAAACTCATGCAGCATTCCTGCCAGGGTCTAATCGCCAATCCTAATGAACATTTCATGTTCATATGCAATACATATTTAAGTACTCAATTTAAGTCGATGCGACAGCAGCTCACTTGGTAGAGCATTGGCCTCTGAGCCTGAAGGTTGTGGGTTCGAGCCCACCACAAGACTTTCTCCCCTGACACCCACTGATGTCTGCTTTCGTTGGGTCCTTGGCAAGACACTTAACCTCTAGGAAGACCAGGTGCCACAGTGGGGCGGCTGCGGCTGTAAACAACTGCCGTTGTATCCTTAGGCAAGACACTTCACCCGCATTGCCTAGAATGAGTCTGGTGTGTGTGTGAACAGTTGGTGGTGGTCGGAGGGGCCGATGGCACATAGTGGTTGCCTCGCTTCTGTAAGAAGACTGCATTAACTCTGCTGGTTTTTATTCATGCATCTTGACAATAAATATTCTAATGCAATCTTCATCTTGAGCCTTTCCAGAAAAACATCAAGTCATATTTGTATTGCAAATAAGTAAAATGTATATCTTTACTATCTAAACTATAACTTCTTATTTACACGACATGCTGTGATACACCAATGTCATACATTAGATAGATATATAGATCTCAGGGTGCATGTGAGTAATAATGTTAGATACAATATGATGCAATTGAAACGGAGGATGACTCTAAGGAGCTGAATGACTCTAGTTAAAGTACTAAAACCAACTCTGGATTAGCCACACCAGACAAAGTCACAGCATGCTTCAATTCACCAACACACCTAACAAAAACAAGGGTGTGGTGATATATAGCTAGAACAAATCACAAAACAGTAATAACATCAAAACAAGGGCATATGTGCCAGAGGTATGTTGCAATTCACAGACTAACTAGGACATCAAGCCTCATCGCCGGCCCACGATAGAGATGAGATTTAGTCACATCAATTACGGCAAAGATACTCGCCTGACAAGCCAGAAAACTGACAGTCCACCCTAGACTAGCCTAACCCTAATCCACAAACACATATATCTGTCAAATTATCTTTTTGGTCTCTGTTCCTTTGCCTTTTGACTTGAACTGTTAATACAAGTTTTGCTGTTCCTTTTAAGTGGAACGTGTTGCAAAAAGACTTATTTCATTGAATGCTTTTTCATTTAGATTGAGAGTACTTGAGTCTTCCTCATTGAACAGTTTTTAAAATCTGTTATTTGTTGAAATTGTAAGAGACTTTTTATAATCTGTAGTTGTAGGCAACTTCTCTTGTCCAGGACTCCCTTTAAAAAGACGTTCTTAATCTCAGTGAGTCTTCCCTGGTATTCTGGAATTTGTGGTGGTTTTACTTTCATTCTCATTATGAGTGGGTGAGTTCTCGTAAACACACACATACAAAGAATAAATGTTTAATTCTATTTTTGCTATTCTTATGGGCGTGAGTCATTGTGTAGAGAACATCCTGCTGGTGGGAGTGGCTTGCCAAGTTGCCATTCACTATTATTACTTTTTAATTTTTTTTAATCAAATAATCAAATTGAAATAGTAATTTTTCCAGGTGCAGTTAGCAAGTCACAAGTCGCATTGCATTTTTATTCCACAGGCTGACCACGTACTCAGGAAGCAACATCAGCTGATAAATGACACTCATCAACGCGGGTGACAGTTCTGAAGATGGCTCACAGTTTTGCAAAAGAAACATGAGATTTACAGCTCAACAAATATCTTTCAACAAGAATCTAAGCACTAAAAAGTCAAAAACAGACAAACTGATCATGGAATCTTCCCACTTATGTTAAGCACAGTTACATTTGATTTAATTCCAAGTGAGAAATTTCTTTCATATTCACTTCCATTGTTAGTGTGTATGAACATGGATAACTTCAGACCACTATAAACTTTTATTTATGAGTGGAGATTTTGTATTTAAGGTGACGCCAGCAATATAGTACAGCCATTGTAAAAAATTTGTTAAAAAATGCATCAGATTTATATAGCACTTTTTTGGACACTCAAAGACACTTCATGTCATTCTTCTTTCCCCCCATACATAATGGTGATAAACCACTACTGTAGCCACAGCTGCCCTGGGGCACACTGACAGAAGTGAGGCAACCAGTATGTGCCCTTCCGACCACCACCAACCATTCACACACACACCAGACTCATTCTAGGCAATGGGGGTGAAGTGTCTTGCCTGAGGACACAACGGCAGTTTGCCACTTTACAGCCGCCCCACTGTGGCATCAGGTGTTCCCAGAGGTTAAGTGTCTTGCCAAGGACCCAACGACAGCAGACATCAGTGGGAGTCGGTGGAGAAAGTCTTGAGGTGGGCTCAAACCCGAAACATTGTACTTTGTGTTTAAAAGAATGATTTTTTTCTTTTGATAATTTGAACATGTGCTCATGAAAAGTAATGTCCCTCCTCCTTCGCAAAACCACGATTGGCAGGGAAGAGAACATTTTGACCAACGGTAAGGTTTTGAACTTTGAACGGTTCATGCATTGCTAGTTTTGAAACTAAATACTACTCGGAATTTAATTAATGTTTGTAAGTATAAGTAAGTAATCTTTATTAAATATAGCACCTTCTACAGACCAGAGTCACAAAGCATGTCTCTCACTCCACACAGAGATGGGAGCGGGGTCGGCGTGCAGGAGGCACATGCCAGACCTACTGCACCCGGAGGAAACCGGAGCACCCAGAGGAAACCTACGCAGACACAAGGAGAACATACAGTACAGTACAAACTCCACACAGAAAGGCCCTGTAACGACCGAGATTCGAACCCAGGACCTTCTTTCAGAGAAGCGAGAGGGCTATTCACTAACTTTAATATATCGTTTATCGACTTCTAATTGCAACGTTTTTCCTTCAGAAAGGAAAACAAAATACATATACACATGAATATTTTACCAAAATTGTGCAGCCCCAATGGAGGCTGTGCGTGGTGACTTGGCTCTTGCCGGTAGACTTTGTACTTTGTGTTGAGGTGCAGTATTTGGCCTCTTTCTTTCTCAATCAAAAAGACCCTGTGGCTTTCCTGTGATTTTTCTCCAGAGTGTTTTCAGGCCTCCAACAGGAAAAGCACCACAGTTTCCCACACACTCACTGCCTGCTCTGTATCAATGGCATTTTACATAAAAACCAGCAGACATTACAATCGCACAGCTGCAAAGGCATTGTGGGCTTTTCAAGTATTACCCAGCTCTTTGTCATTTGATTGGTCATAGTTCTCAACATATAAGAAATGATTGCTTAAATACAGTAAATGACGGGGAATGTGCAGTGATTTCAAGTCATATTTCTCATGTTAAATACGGTGAAAACAATAGACAACAAAAATGTTTATTTTTTGATCCAGCATTTGGCTAGGTATAGTGAGTACCTCTCTCCTCTGTGATCTGTTATCAATATGACTTTGGATGTATTGTGTTCATTGCTATTTACCCACTGTCGCATTGACTGTTTCATGGCTTGATGATGGGACCCCTCAATCCGGCCTCTTTTTCATCAACACCTGTGATCTGGTCTCCCTCGGCCCAGACTCAGCTTCAGTCCTCGTTCTACAGCCTGAGTGCTGGATCTATAGCCTGTATATCTGTGGGCTTTCTAAATGGGTCCGTCAAGGTTTCTCACTTTTTCCCACTGGGTTGTTTTGTTCCTTCCCGATGCAGGGGGGTCTAAGAACAGAGGTGATGATCCGGATTATGTAAGGATATTTCTGGACATCGCCAATTCATCCCAATCCCTAGGGATCGTTTGTTGGTGAATCAACAACGTTGTAAAATTCCCCAAGACGACTGCTGTTGGGCTTTGCAGCTATACAAAACTACAATAATTGAATTTATAATATGCATTTTTTGACACTTTAAAAGGTAACTACATCTCCACCAGTATTCATTTGAACATGTTTTTTGCAACAGAAGGACTCTCCTTTAAAAGGAGACAT